GGCCCCGCCCCCGCGCACACACAGGTGACTCGTCCGGCCCCGGGGAGCCGCGGTCGCAGCCTGGGCGGCTCGGGAGGGGCCGGGGCCAGCCCAATCCTGGGGCATCCCGGCGGAGGCGGCCTCCGGTGGCCTCGCCTCCCGCCCCCTCCCTCCGCGTCACCCTATATGCCTCCCGCCGCGGCCTCCGGGGCATGGAGCGCGCAGCTCAGCCGCGGCAATGGAGCAAGCGGAGGAGCGCCTGCTGGACACGCTCGCCTACCTGCAGGGCTTCCTGGGCTGCGTGGTCCTCGTGCTGTTGCAGGTGCTGAGCTCCGGCTATGGCCGGTACTCGTCGTCCTCCCGCCTCCACGTGCCCGCGCGGGCCGCCTGGGCGGTGCAGGAGCTGCCCGCGCTGGCCCTGCCGCTCTACCAGTGCGCCCTCGCACCCGCGCCGCGTCTCCAGAGCTGGCCCAACTGCATCCTCCTGGCCATGTACCTGGTCCACTACGTGCAACGGTAACGGCCGGCCGCCCCTGCGCCCCCCGACCCCGCACTCTCCCGACCCCGCGCTCTCCCTCCTTCCTCCCTCCTTCCCCTTGTGCCCCCCGATCTGGCGCCCTCACCTTGCCATCCCATTTCCCCTGTGCTCTCACTCCCCTCCTCCTAAGGTTCCCCACCTGACTCCCTCACCCCCACCCCACTCGGCTTCCTCTCCTTGCCCTTTCCTCTTTCCCCCGCGCCTTCTCTCAGCAGTCTCCCCCAACCCCACCATCGCCGGTGGCCCCACCCAAGTGTCCTCTCTGCGTGGGTTCCTTCCTCTGTCGTCCCAGGTGTCCTCTCCCCTGACTCCAAGAGTTTAGAAACAAGTAGGGATTCTTCTGGGAGCAGAAAGGCAGGGATGAGAAAGAGCTGAAAGGGAGTGACAGAAAAAGAAGGTTGTGAAACGTGGATCTGGAAAGTGTTAGCTATGCAATAAACCTAGACGCTGTTCCCTTAGATCAAGGTTAGGTCTGCAGCGGAATGCTGATGGTCTCGAGTCACCCTGGCAATTGTGTGCGGCTCCTTGTCTACTATTTCTCCCTGGGTATCTGTTGGTGGAGCTCTTTTCTGCTTGCCAAGGGAACCAGCTGCAGCTTGGAAACCTGGCCTCCCCAACTTCCAAGTGGTTTCCCCAGTGTGGGCTTTATCCCTATCAGAGACTGTCACCTCCACATTGTGTAAGAGGCCCCAGGACCCTGGGAGTGACTTTCCAGGGACATGCTGTAAATTTTAAACAAATGAAGTCTTCAAGATGACTTCTAAATCTTTTAGAAGTTGTTGTTTATTTAAGTTTTGAGAAATGACTGTGACTGTGTCCGAAATCTTCAAGTTTTCTAATAAATTGGGACTCTCTCCAGTTCCTGATCTTTGGCTTTTACACACCTAAGCAAATGGCTAGTCGAAAGTTTAAAATTAAACTTTAAATGTTTTCATTCAGAATCTGGGAAACTGCACAATTAAAAAGGATCTCTACCTCCAAGGAAGTTGACCTCACTAGCTATGTGAACATGGGCAGGACACTCAGCCTCTCTGATTTTTGGATCCCACCTTTAAACACACTTCTAGAGAGGTTGGAAGAACTCAGTGTGTGTTTATAAGCCTCCTTCCTGTCTCCTGGAGTCTTGCATGCAGTGAAGAGAAAAGACAGGCTTCACAGCTCCAGTGCCAGGATCAGATGTTGGCCCCAGCGTAGTTCTCAGTGCATCAGTTCCCTGGATACTGGTGCGGTCTCCACACCTGGTACAGTCTGTGTCCCAGTCTACTAGTATGCAGGCACTTTAAACATGGGCTGGTCAACGTTCAGCAAAGGCTTGGTGTGGCCTGTGTGTCTGAAACTCTTCACTATTTAGCAAAATTATTGTCAGGCTCCCGGATTTTTTTTTTTTTCTTGGTAACGTGATCAAACATTGCTGCAATTTGAATATTAGTCCGACGGTTTCATCTGTATATGCTTTTCCATAAATACGCCAAAAGTCGTGTCTATTTCTTTAATGTCTAGAAGCAAGCTCTAAGGTCACCCTGTTAGATGCTGTTCTAACTTTATCACTCATCACCTCTGATACATTACGAAGCTGCTCTGCACCAGTTTCCCCACCTGTAAAATGGGCACGGTGCAGGTACCACCTTGTGGAACAGGCTTTCATTTTAAGCTAAGGCAACTTTCTAAAATGCTTACATGGTACAGTCTGAGGGCTCAATAAATGACACTCGCCAGGTTTAGTGGCTAGTGCCTGTCATCCCAGCACTTTGGGAGACCGAGGCAGGAAGATTGCTTGAACCCAGAAGTTTGAGACCAGCTTAGGCAACATAGCAAGGCCTCATCTCTACAAAAAATAAATTTAGCCAAGCGTAGTGGTGTGCACCTGTAGTCCCAGCTACTTGAGAGGCAAACCTGGGGGGATCACCTGAGCCCAGGAGGTCAAGGCTGCAGTGAACTGTGAGTGTGACACTGTACTCCAGCCTGGGCAACAGAGTGAGATCCCGACTCAAAAAATAAATAAAAATAAGAATCAGTGATACCTGACACTATTTTACTTGCTACGCATGCATATGTACTTGAATGTACCTGGATGTGCCCTATATGCCATAGCTCATATGTACATGAACCTCTTGGAACACCCTCTGAGTTGCATGAGGGCTGCCCACACAGCCGTGCCAGTGTGTGTCAAGACTTGTATTTGTTAGAGACTCCTCTCCCTGGGTCTGGCATAAGGGCCCTGCTCTGGGGAATGGCATGCCCTAGCACACTGCTGCCAGAGTTGAGCACCAGTGAAGATAAGGCATTGGAAATGTAGGAAGCACTCCTCAGCGTTCTGTCTGAAGTCTGAGTCCAAACTTTTAAACTCAAGACATCAGGTTTAATTGTAGCTAAACAAGCATAAGTGGAAGAATGAATGAACCCTCCTCCAGAAGAGCGAGTCACCTCTTGAGTGATAGACTGTGAGATCATTTCATCCAGATGGAGCCCAGAGATATGGCGCGTGGCTGTTTCCCCCCAAGGCATTCCATGGGGAATTTTTGGGACGGAAGTCCCTTGTGCCCAGACCAGGGGTTTTAAAAACTGCTCCGAGAGGATTTGCCGGGTCAGCTATAGTTTTTAAAACTGCTGGGTCATTTTTGTTGTTGTTGTTGTTGTTAGTTGTACGTGTTACTGTACACCTAGCCCATGTGGTTTGGGGACATTAAGGTTTCTGAGTAGAAAAGATAAACATTTTCCATCCTACCCAAGCACCTAATTTATTAAACGGTCATTTGACCTAAGCCAGTGAACACTTGGATGAGAACCAGAGTGGAAACAGTTTAGCGCTAGCAACACACCATCTAGCAGACCCGGGGAGCATTGCTGCAACCTTATGGTGCAGGACACTGCAGATGACCCAACATCTGCAGACCCAACCCTGCAGTGTGACCCTTACACAAACTTCGCAGATATCCTCCGAGGCAGGACACTGCAGATGACCCAACATCTGCAGACCCAACCCTGCAGTGTGACCCTTACACAAACTTCGCAGATATCCTTCGAGGCCCTGCTCTGAGCTGGGAGGTTGGCCTAGCAGGGTGTTCCCTGAGGAGTTGGAATCTTCTGGGGTGTGGTAAGGACCCGAGCCAGGTCCAGGGGCCTCCCGCAGTCCCTGAGGCCCAAGGCAGCCCCAGAGCTACAGCTTTCCCTGAGCAACTGATGGTTCAGGGGCAGCTCAAGGAGGAAGGAAAGTGAGGAAGGGCATGTGTGCTGGTGGAAGGAGAGGAGACTGTGGGTCTTCTTGAACTTGACCTGCAAACATTTCCTGAGGACCACTGTATGGACTTGGCATTGCACTGGGGTGTACAGACAAGATGTTCCCTTTTAGTTAGCAAACAAAAGACAGGCTGTAGAGTTGCTACAGGATCTTTTGCATAAAAACCTAGTGGGGGAAGGGCAGCCAGCCTGGAGAGAAAAGGGGGACAGCTGGCATGCCACCAAGCGAGGTCCTGACTAGCTCCCCTGAGGAGGGGAAAGGACATTTTCAGGAGCATCATTCGGGTCCTTGGTCCTTCTGATCCCAGGTGTTTGGGTTCTTGGGGACAGAGCTGGCATCGTTCCACTCTGTCCTTAGTCTTGCTGTGTGTGTAGCTGCACCTAGCATGCATGGTGCCCGCCACCTGGGCTAAGTGCCTTCTCCAGCCTCCTGCAAGCCTCCCAAGGCCCCCCCCAAACTGTGTGATACTCTGTCCTATAACCTTTGCCTTCTGCTCTGTGGTTCACCTTTTGAGTCTTACACCTCTTGAGCAAATCACATCCAGCAATGAATATGAACCGTGCTTTACCAGTTTGTCGGGCTTAATATTGTGTAAGCAATTAGCCTGGGGTTCAAGGAGTCTAAGGAGAATCTCTAGTTCTGTTCAGGAGCGTGGGAAGCTAAGAGCGCTTGTGTTTTCTGCAGGTGCTACCGCAGCCCTCGAGGAGGGGAATGGTTGTATAGGCTAGCTCTGACGATACTGTTTTTTTGGGTAACCCATTTTTCTTCCTGGATGCTATAGGGTACTTACTTTTTCCTCAGATGAGTGATCTGGGTTTGCTTATATATTCACACAGAGTCTCTCTGTGTCTTTTCAATCAGCAATTTCAAGTCTTTAGCTCAGGAAATCTTAATTTCTCCAATTCACTTGTCCTGTCTGTTCTGAATATATTGGGTGTCAGGACATAAGACACATGTCAATATTGCATTCAAACAAGCTTAAAATTGAAGTGATGCTTATGTTAGAAAATTCAGAAAATACAGAGGAATTCAAGGAGAAAAATAAGGTTGCCTGTAATTCCATCGCTTAGAGATAAAGCTGACAATATATTGGTGCAACTTTTTCCCATCTTTCATTGTTCTTATTAAATTTTTGATCATGTTTTCTAAGCAATAAAGATTTCCACCACCACCCCCCCCCCACACACACACACACAGCATCTTGTAACCTTTTGGCACTTACCGTAATTAGTATTTTTTTCTGGCTTAATGGAAACACTTCATCAAAATGACTTCTAGTGACTATTTCCTATGCCATGGGCCAGACCATCCTCCTGGCACCTGGTCTGTGTGGTATAGAGGATGAAGCACCCAGGAAGGGCACACTCTCATTCCCTGATGCTGTCTCATATGTGGTTTCCATCAGCCACACCACCATATCCCTCTGACCCTCCATGTTCTTGCCTGTGAAATAAGGATAATAGTAACAGCTTTGAAGTTTTAAAAAAAGGCATTTAGCATAAGATTAGGAACTATTAGAAACACTTTTATCAGGAACTATAAGAAGCCCTTTTATGTTACATCTAAGCTGGAAAAGTCAACAGGAAAGAGACAGCAAATTGCCCTGGCCATTATAGCACCAAAGAAATGCTGGCTTCTCAACAGTCTTGGGCCAGCCCTGTCATCAAACGTGTCCCCCGTTCCTGGTTGCCTTATAGATGCCAAGGTTTGCAGTTTCCATGTGTAATAAAAACAACTTGA